ACACACACACACACACACACACACACACACACACACACACACACACAACGTGTGATTTCATGTTATCCAAACACACACAACAATATGACAACTCACAGTGAGAGAGGGCAATGCCACCTGATGGGGGGGGGGGAGAGATTGCTGCAAGCTTCTATGCAACTTCAGTAGGGGACATGACTCCGCGCGGCATGCACCTCCCCACCCACACAGCCTCCAAGCCCACCCACAGACCCCCCCTCAACCAGGAAGCGCCCACAGTCACTGCTTTACCATTGTTGTATTGTTTACTTGTTGGTAGTTGATTCTCATAGTCGTTTGTTGTCACAGTTGTGTTTTTTTGTTTTTTTCTGTGCACCTATGACATCTGTCTCTCCTTGTACCATTCCACAAACTCGTCCAACAAAACTGGCCCTGACGAAAGAACAAGACCACATTAGAAAACACTCATTGGTGTGACACGTTCGTGTGTGTGTGTGTTCACACTCACAGGCACCGTCCTCGTCGTAGTTGCTGAGGTCCAGGTTGATTGTCCTGCTGAACTCTAAAACATTGCACCATTGGTCCTTGTTGATGACTTTGTACTTGGATTGCTGAGGAACAGTAAAACAAATTAATTACATAAATAACCTCTTTAGTTTCAACAACCCTATTCAATAGGAATCCACCTCTTTGCGTCAAGTCCCGCCCCTCAAAAGCCGACTAGCCAATCATAGCGTAGCATCAGACAACTATTCGGTTCTGCTCCATAGTGTTCATTTTAGCAGCTATTTGACACTTAATCTTTAGATAAAAATGTGTTGAAGTGAACCCGACTGGATTTCGGATTTCCAGCACAATGAATCCCTCGCAGTAGCTTTACTCGCTGACCTTTCAACCCAATGTTGTGACGTTCATCGTTGCCGAAGGCGAAGCACGTAAAATATTCCGTGGGATGGTTAGAAAAGCTCAGTGTAGTCCTGAACTAAAACTTAACTTCTTAACCGTAGACTGATATTTATGGAAGAAAGAAATGAAATCAGCCAGCTCTGATTGTTTGTTACTCGTCGCATGACTTGCGTTGTGCGCGGCAGCTTTTGAGCGCATCATCTACATTCACAAAAAATTAATTTTAAGGCGCAAAAATAGCAACAAGTAAACTTCCCCTAAAACAATCTTTTCTACACACAACCACACATGTGACTCTTACCTCTAGAAACTGATTAAACACAGGAAACAGAGGCCACGTCTTCCCCAGAAGAAGACCCAGCATGCACTTGGCGGTGTTCAAGTCCAAACTCCTCTGATCCTTTTCCTGTCCGATCAAAACGTCCACAGCGTCATGAAAACTCGTCAACCAGTCTAGTAACATCATTACCTTCTAGCTTAACCCCAAAACGCACCACTACTGTTACTAGAATATGTCTTCATTCACTACAACAGAGCTGCTTTTCTTAAATCACTGTCAAAAGTCAGGCTGTGTTCTCTTGATGAGAGCTTTCCAAGTCCAACTGGAAAATGATCTTGACCTCATTAGATCAAGATCAGAGCGTTCCTCCCGAACAAAAGCCTGTGCACTCATTCCAACAATAGACTAACAACACCACGTTGGTTTGTTCATGTTCATTACAATCATTTTTTTTGGGGGGGGGGGGGCTTTGGAGGGAGACCTGTTGCTGACTGAAACGCTACATTTAGCAACTTTTGTTGCTCGTGCCGTTGGCTACTTTCATTGGTAAAGAGTCTGAAACACGGACTGGCTTTTCTAGGTTGGATGATTTTTTAAATCTAGCGTACTCTGTTAGTTTCTCAACCTTCCTTTATTAGCTGTGTCCTGCTAACCCTGCATGGATGTGATTGCTGTCACTGTTGTGCGTTCTGGCTCAGGTTTAACTCTTTGTAGACATGAATAAATGCAGAAACTAAAACACGGCATACTTCCTTTTTATTCTGCTCCCCGTTAAAAAGGAGATTTTCCTCCAACAGGAACAGAGGAGGTCATATGCTGACAGATTGTAAAGCCCTCTAAAAGGCAAATTTGTGATTTGGGGCTTTTGGTGGGATATTCCAGTGTAAAATATTGCCGCTTGCTGACATGTTGCTAGCTCTTGGCTAACGTTAGCACCTGCCTGATCGGTCCATCGCTTTAGTCTCCCAGAGCCGATGATGGAAGTAGCTAACGAGTTTTCATGCTCAGTACCGCTCAGGATGTCCGGATCGGGTAGCTAGAGACACATGTTGTTCCTGTGTAGCGTGAATGAGCTGGTAGAAGATACGATAACGTGATATCGGATCAGTGCATAAGACTCGTCAATACCCAATCAATTTTAGGCTGCATTTCTAAAACCGGTATCGGTAAACAACGCCAATTAAAATGAGCTGTTTCATAACTCTGTGTGTGTGTGTGTGTGTGTGTGTGTGTGTGTGTGTGTGTGTGTTAGCTTGACTCACCCGAGCAAAATCGAAGGCATATCTATAGATGAGCTTAAAACTGGTGCTGTCGTTTAGGACAGATCTCAGGTAGTCGAGCGAGTTCCTCAGCCTCTCTGTGGAGTCGCACCTGACAACAGCAGAAAGGAGCTTTAGACAGAATCTACACTTCACTATAAAAACTATTTAAAAAAAAAAAAAAAAATCAGCATGCGACGGTAGAAGAAGTCGGTGACTGACGTACTGAAGCGAGCCCATTCCTCTCAGCCACTCCTGCAGGGTGAAGTAGCCCATACTCTGAGCATCCAGCTTCCAGGCCAGAACCAGCATCACCACCTGGTACACATTAATATTCATCACGGTGTTTTAATCAGTGTATAGGCACCTGAAACTAAGAATCTGTTTTATTTAGCTTAGAAAAAAACATTTATGTCTACAAAGGGAGTCCTTGGAACTCTGAGCTAAATGGGAACCCGTTCTAAAACCAGTAAAAACCCGTTAGCATTGATGAGGTCCGGAGTTATCGGTTCTGCTATCAGTACTTTGTTAGTTCCTGAGTGAGACGTCCTCGTCTCAAACGTCCTCTCTCTGTCTCTTTGCCTCAGCACAGCGTGAGACTCATCACGATCAGAGAGGAGGACACATTGTAGAACTCTGGTCGTCTCAAACACAATAAAACCCTCACAAGTAAGTTCATCACAACATGTGACCAACAAGCAGAACATCAGTCTGTCTGTGGAGCAGCCGCCAGGTAACGGTAGTGATGTCATATGTTAGTGATGTCATAGAGAGTTTGATCAGAAGAACAGGATCAATGAGAGATAATCACTGAGATCATTGATTAGATGAAATATTTTAGAACTTCTTGTGTTGCTGCTCAAGAAAGATAATTTGTTTATATACAAGAATAATGAAGCAATGATGATTCTTTTCTGAATTAATTGTCTTTTTCCTCACAAATATAATAAAAAAGAACCAATAAGAGCATCAATAAGAGTACTAGTACCGATAAAATCCTAACGATACCCGTCCCTAGTTTCTACAGAAGCCCAGAGCGGACAAACTTAACACTGGCTCTAGTGAGAGTGGAGACGGTTAAATTAACCAGGTGAAGACGAAGTGTAAATAAGTAGTGACCTAATTATTAATTATAAAAACAAAGTGATGAGAAAAGCCCAAAAAAAGATGATGATTAAATGAACAGATATAAAAGAGACATGGGCTCACGTTCTCCGGCTCCACTCCGATGTCCTCACAGAACTTCTCCATCCCCTCTGGACCCACCACGTCATCGCAGCCTGTTTCAGACGACACAGGTGTGAAGGTGTTCATGTCAACGTACGACGACGAGAGCGACACCTTTAAAAACAAACACCTCACCTGCATATTCATAGAACCACTCCAGACATCTTTTACTGGAAAACGTCTCCTCCTCGCGGATTTGTGGCGTTTCCTGTTTCCTGAAAACGCTGCAGAGGAAGAAGAGAGTTTAAAAGAAAAGATTATTTCTTTGCAAGTATTCACGCACACATTTAACCTCTTCAATAACTCGATGCTCCTGTTCAACATAGTCACACCTGTCTTGGCGACTTTTCTTGGCCGACATGTCATCTCCTGCAGAGGGTCTCCTCTTTTTCCTCGGAGGCATGGCTCTGGAGCAACACGCTGGGGAAGCAAGTGGAAGAATTAGAGGCAATACATACATACATACATACATACATACATGCATACATACATACATACAGAAAAGACAAAGTCCTGACGTTACCTGAGGGGTGGCTATCCTGTCCAACGTCTTCTGTCAGGTTCTATCAAAACAAGAAACCACATGCTTGTGAGCAGGACACACGCGTACACGCTCGCATCTAAACACACGTATATATATATATATATATATTTATATATTCATATATATCAAATACACAAGCTGCCAGTGTGTATTTACCAGCCTGTGCAAGGTGTGGTGGATCTTATGGATGCTGGCCAGTGTAGTCAAGTGGGAATTCAGCTGTAAATCTATTTCCACAAGAGAGAGAAATAATCAGACTACAGCACAACTCACAGCCTACTGCTCCCAATTAAGACTCACAATCTTTTGGCACTAAAGGGTACAAGAAGGTGACATCATCGTCAAGAACCCTATCATTTTATTTTTAATGTGCCAGTAATCAATAATCGACTCCTCCAACTTACTTCAGTGTGATTTCTAATGTAAGAGAAAAAAAAATACGACAGGAAAAAATAAAAAAATGAGGGAGTGACTCTCTGCATTCCTAGAAAAGACATGCGAGCTCGAGCATACGTGGTCGCGCGTGCTACCTTGGTCGCCAAATGTCATCTATGCACCCCCCCTCGAGAGCTGTCATCAAATCCCGATGCTTTTTATTTATGTCTAGGAAACACACACACACACACACACACACACACACACGCAGCTGAGCAGATAGCACGAGCTGCATACCTAAAATAACCGTGCAGACGCGCAACTTGCAGAGTTTACAAAGTATCTGGAGAGTTGGGCGTGTGGGAGTTGTAGTCCACTTCCTCTAAAAAAGAGCCCACTGAAGCCTGGGCTCCGGTTGGAAGCTGGACTACAACTCCCAAGCTTTTGACAAAACAACTATTTTGTAGCAACCTTTTTTTTTTTTTTTTTACCTCAACTGATTGAATGCATTTTACATCGTCTTTAAAAAAATCTAACATCATATGGCTGCTGGCGCACAACCCGTTGCGCAGACGCCTTTTTTTGCAGCAGCAGCTTGGTGTTGGTGCCGCAAAGCCCGACAGCACTGCAGCACTGAAAGATGTTTTTACACAACTGCGTCACAATTCTCAATCTCTGCAATAGTCCGCAGCTGATCAGAAAAATATCCCAATATGCAGCGACATTCCGTTCGTCCTTTAAAGTTTGAGTGGAAACCCGCACAGTGCATCCTCAGTGGTGATGAATATAAACACCACACCGCGGCCGATTAGCATTACACAAAAAGGACCGCTTGTGGGTTTAACTAGTGCACCGAGACCCGCTAACGCTGCACAAACACAATAAATAACGAGTCAAACAAAACCTCCTGCATGTGCAAAAAACACCTGGATTGACACCCGCTATCCCCCCTTTGTTGTCGCCTAAGAAAAAGCACCGGCAAATACAAAGGGGGCCACTAAAACAGCTCGGAATTCATCCGCTTCTCCTCCTAAATGCTGCAGAAAGTAGGTTTGCGGTAATAACCACGCGGCTTGTTTGCGTCTCTTCGGTTAAAGCTCTGTAGCGTCCGCGAGGGTTTTTCGCAATTTGATGCAGTAAAAAAAAAAACAAGCCTCTGTAAGGTTACTACTTACTTGCCGCATCAGAGTGCATTTTTATGAAACATACAACTGTCTGTGGGAAGTCCGGAGACCGGCCAATAGGCGGGCCTTGCGCGTGTAAACCACGCCCACTGACGACGATTGAACGCAACCGCGCTCGGTCTCCGCCTTTGGTCGCCGTCGATTGGCTACTTGAGCTGTCGTGTCACGAGAAGGCGGAAGGCAGGAGGATAAGCCCCTCCCATGCAAGCATCTGATTGGTCGGAGCTCCCCAAACAGGCTGCGCGAGCTCCGTTACTGATTGGTGCAGAGAGGTTGTTTTTTTTATGAACACGTAACACACCAACGTTTCCTCGTGCAAGCTTGAAACCCAGCCCACGAAGGAATCGGATTGGTCCCTTCAGTCAAGCGTGTAACCGCCCCCCTTGTGAACCCGCTGTTTGGGTTCATTCAGTGTCAACTCACCCGGGCGGAGGTTAGTGGTGGTGCGTTTGTTTTAACGTGAGTTACGTCTCATTTCGTGACCGTTTAGGGAGCAATGTTGTCCAACTAAAAGCTGATGAGACGTCTGGGATGTGTTCAGTTGGTCCTGTCCCCAAAAAAGGCTTTAAAATTTACCACCGTGAACACTCGCCTGTCAGGTGACTAGAAATCCGTGACGTGAGCCAAATCGAACGGACACTTTCAGCTGTAACTACGTTGTTTGGCTTTTAAATATCAGAAACATTAAGATGAATTATAATATTGTTTAACTAATATATGTAATTATTATATATTATATGTACATATAATATATGTATTATATTATAATATAAAATTATTATATATCAAATTTTTATATATATACAAAACATATATATAATATAATAATATATTATATTATATTATTGTTTTTAATATTTGACTAAGAACATAAGTTGACCAGTTTATGAAAAAAGTCCCTGAACGCAAACTTTTTCAGTGGTGTTGCCTTCAATGTTGATCCGGACAAACCGTTGCTGAGAATATCACTGCAATAACTGATCAGAACCACCGTTTATTTTTACAAAAATAATAATACTGGCAGCAGTGGATTTAAAGTGGTGGAATGTACTACTTGTATTTAAACTTAGTTGATACTTGTACTTCTACTCCATTACATCTCAGAGGGAAATATGGTACTTTTTACTGCATTTTTATTTGCAGTGAATAGTATTTCTACTCAGTGTTGTTTCTCCCTGGTTTCCTCTGTAGATATATTGACTAAATATCCTGTAAATAAGTTTAGTAATAGTGTTTGATTTAAATTCGAACCTGATTTATTTTTAGTTTAGAGGGTTTGATTTAAATTTGTTTTCATATTTATTCTCATTATTATCAACCAAAGATCGTCCTCGCTGTCAGTGTTTTGGTTAATTTTGTAAAAAGAAAAAGAAATAAGTTGAATGAAATCTTAAGTAAAAAATGTAAAGTGACACATATGGTTTACATTTTGTAAATTTTTCATACATTTTTTAAGTGTTAATTGTAAAAAGAAAGGTATATATAAATATATAAATATTATTATATTATATTCTCTTATATATTTTTAAAGGTTTTATTAAAGCAAGCACATCATTTTCTTTATATATATATCTGGTAATGTTATTGCTTTTTTATTTTTTTAGTATTTTATTTATATTTATTTTATATTGTATTGTATTGTATGTCGGTGAAAGCAGTGGTGTTGTTAATATTGTTATAATTATCAATAAGTCGTTTTTTAACTATGAATATACACTACTGATTTAAAGAGGCTGACCTTTGACTACATGTTCATACTTTTTACTGTTTTTTTTACAGAGAATTTTCGTTTTGATATAAAAGAAAGATTCAATTAATATTCAATACTTAACATGAAAGTGGAATTTCTACATATAGTGAAACAAGAGTAATCCTGTTGAAATGATCAAATCAATGATTATGTAATCTGTCTGTTTTTATCAGTGGTTGATCTAGCGTCTAATAACCTGACCTTTCTCGTGGGAATAAACTTCTAATGAAGTAACATATTCAGCACTCCTTTAATGTATATTACGCACTTTCATATCTAATTTAAATGTTATTTAATACAACCAGATTAAATATTTATATTGGCAAATATAGTAAACTGTGTTTGATTGTGTGTCACATAATAAGAGATGTTTCGCAAACCATGAAAACTACAGGACATGTTACAATACACATTTCTACCACAAAGACTGCTTCTAATGTCACAGTCACGCTTGTTTGCACTCGTAAAACAGAATGATGGAAATGATACTATTCCACATACTTAATGAAACAACAGCACAAAAGAATCAACGACCTCTACAAACACAGGTGTGTCTGACTGCAGGTGTGGAAGGTGTGCAGAGGTGAGCCTGAACTCAACACTGTAGCTTCATGTCACAAATAAAACATCTTTGTATGTCAGTTTTTGACTTTTCTTTTAAATTGTAAAAATTGTGCATTTTTCCTGCAAAATTCTATATTTGTTTAAGTTGTTTTTTAAATGGACAAAGCCTCTAGTATGTTTCTTTAATTTATATATTTGATTGGGGCGGGCTTATAAACACAGGGAGGAGTTATTACAACCAGTATGATAAGAGAGAGAGACAGGAAGTACACGAGCCAGACAAAGTTGCGCACTTCTGCTCCAGGAAAAAGTAAATAGCTGAAAGCTTTTTTTGCATCATGAGTTCCGAAACAACCGGACAAACTATCACCGTGAAGACGGGAGATGAGCCGGCGGCGGAGGCGGCAGCTGGTCCAGAGAAAGCGGGGTGGAAGGTGAGAGTCACCGCTGTGGACCATTACTGACCCTCCATGATGACATGAGACCTGAACGCTGTCCCGTGGGTGTCTTTACAGTGTCCTATGGGGGACCGTCACGTTCACAGAGAAGACCTGATAAAGGTGTGGAAAGAGTGCCACGAGGAAAGCTTCTGGTACAGAGGTATTATCTTTCATATCTTCACAAATACTTCTTATTAATCATTGTAGAAAAAACTGTCAAACCATCAGATGTGTAAAAAGCGGAGTCCACGTGCATTCTCTCTGCTGACCACCAGGGGGCGACTCCTCTGGTTGTATAGAAGTCTGTGAGAAAATGACTCTACTTCTCTCTTGATGTATTACCTCAGTAAACATTGTAAACATGAGTTTATGGTCTCAATCTCTAGTTTCAAGTCTTCTTCAATACAGCATGATGTTCATTTAGTACATTATGGTCCATTTAGAGTCACACAGACCATAAAGCAGGGGATGCTTTAGGGCGGGGCTACACGGTGATTGACAGGTTGTTGCTACTGCGTTGTAAGAAAGTTAATTTTAATATTTCTGGTCACCTAAAAACACGTCTTATTCAGCATTTGATTGTACTTTGCTCGACCCTCTCGCGTCACTTCTGGTTGCTTTAAAAAAAAAAAAAAAAAAGATGCCGACTGCCAAAATGTTGAACTCAAAGGCTTCAACAACAGAAAGTTAACTTCTCAAACAGTCTATTAATTATATACTTCTGTGTGTATTTGACAAGTGTTTTTTAGCAGTGTAGCCGGAGTTATCTGTCAGCACCGTGTTCATTTAACGACATGTGTGTTTACATTTTTCTCTGTGGCGCCCAAAACACTCCACAAAGTCACGTTGGCAATGGCGGCATTTTGATTGTTATTGCCATGTTCCAACACACCTTAATCAGGCTCTGAATGCTGTGTGAACTAACCCCTCTGTGTGAACCTTCAGCACACAGAGAGGAATGAACGAGTGAAGTTTGGTGAATGTAAGAGCTGCTGAAGTGGAGATTTATCATCAGAGTCTGAGAACAAACTCATTTAGAGGAAACGTCCTTTAAAGAGACGTTTAGTTACATTACACACATTTAGAGACTCTACAGGTGAACACATGAACTCATGATATCACCATGAAACTTCACCACTTCATCACTCACATTAAGAGACTCTACAGGTGAACACATGAACTCATAGATATCACCATGAGACTTCACCACTTCATCACTCACATTAAGAGGAGTATTTATTGTATTACAAGTTTTCTGAAATGTTATGTTTAAATATACAAATGAGGCATTATGTAATGGTAACTTTTGGTGAATTTAGTAGAAATCTACAGCCGTAAACAGACAAAGTAGAAAATAAATGTTTTCTTTCCTCTAGTCTGAAAGAAGACGAGTTATGGAAGATAAGAAGACCAAAATCTCAAACAATCAGTGCACGTAAAACTATATTTTTGCCTGTAGTGTGACGTAATTGATAAGATCTACAGTGGTTTTAATTCCGGTTGGACGAAGTGAGACGGGGAGTGTCCTGAGTTCAACCCGGGTGAACCAAACTGAATCCCTGCTCCAACGAAAACCAAACAGCTTTAGTGTTTCTGTTCACACCCACAAAGATCTAATCCCACCATTGCAGTTTCTCACTAAACAGCATGTGTAGAATATTGTGACTGTAAGTGATTCATGTTTTTATGAGTCAACACTTTATTGTTTACTCACTCAGCATTTATGTAAACATGAAACGGCAACAATTCACGGGGGAGAAGTCGACGCCGGCCTTTAGACAAAATGTTGAGCTTTTATAATTCACAGGTCAAAGTTCAGTCAGATTAAACTCAAGTGAGGGCGATCGATCCATGACAGGAACGTGTTTAGTCTTAATCTTTACTCAGCTCCTGTATTCAGTGACGTTTGTCCTCTTTCCTCAGCTCTTCCTCTCTCTCTGGGCAGCATGGCCGTCACTGGTGGGCTCCTCTACAAAGGTAAAGACGTTGAAACACAGTTCTCCCGTCATGTTGTTGTGACGCATGTAAAGCACCCATTGTTTTCTATAAATATCCCATTTTGGTTTAATTTTATTTCCATGCAGGCATTTGGAATTCGTCGAAGAGATTTGGTCCTTTTCCAAAACTAGCAGGTGTGTATCATCCAGTATTTCTGACTTTCTAATGCTTTTCATATTACGTCTTCATCATTAGAGGAAATAAAACATTTATTTTACTACTTTGTCTGTTTACGGCTGTCGATTTCTACTAAATTCATCAAAAGTTACCATTACATAATGCCTCATTTGCATATTTAAACATCACATTTCAAAAAACTTGTAATACAATAAATAATCCTCTTAATGTGAGTGGTGAAGTTTCATTGTGTTATTTTTATATATATATATTATTAAAAAAAAAAAATTAATTAGATAGACTGTTCTCCTGTCATGTCTTCGTTCTCTAACTTCGTTCTCTTTGTCCGTTAGTTGCTGGTGTCGTCGGGTTCGCGGTGGGGAAAGCATCTTATGTTGGAACTTGTCGGAGCAAGTTTCAGGGTCTTGAGGGTAGACCAGGATCTGGTCCTGGACACAGGTACAGAATACACTGAAACTAAGAGGCTCAGAAAATCACAATCCGGTTTATTGCAGGTAAAAATAAATATAAACAATCATTAAACATACTTATAAAATTACAATTAAAATACCAAAACATACGATAAAAATATTCACAGTATATCTGAATTCATATTAAAGAGGAGTGCAGTTTTTTGAAAAGGTAGTTTTGTGCAGAAATCCTGCTTCATTTTGTGCTGATGGATGTTTTTCTTCTACGTGTGATGATGTGTGGAAGAAATAGCAGTTATTATGAAGAGCAGGAGAGATATGACTTTAATGTAACATAACTTTATACAGCTTTTACTCACATTTCAACACATGCATGATGTTTCGTCACACTTTTTTTCATCAGTTTGTGCATAAATAAAAACATTTTGCATTCAAAAGAAACAGGAAAACATTCCATTCCACTTTTACTTAGGAGTGAATCTTACATTTCCTCGCTTCAGAAATGGAAGATAAATTACTTTTACGGTGTTGATTTGACAATTTCATTCTGCAATGTTTGTGCTGCAGCAAATCACTTCTAATAAATATGTATCACTGAGCAGAACGTCATCCCAACAGGTCCTGTCACCACGTGTGTGAAGAATGTCAGAAGAAAGCTCCTGCTGCACCTGCAGAAGAAGAGAAAAGCTAAAGGTAATCTGATCACAGCGGAGCGATTACAAACAAATATACAGCAAAAATGTTTTGTTTAATGACATATTCATGTTAAAGTAACCTGAATGTGCTCTTTATTTATTCCACTTTATGTTTCAGCCTCATCAGAAACACTGAAGGATTGACTGCCAGCGTGGATCTGTCAGCTGCAGCTTTTCTGTGTCTTTATATAATGCTTATAATTCGTATATAAAGTATATTTTGATATATTGCACATCATATTCATCCAGGAGAAACCATGCACAACATATCCACTAGGGGGAGCTACTTTCCTTTCAGTCAGAGATCCAGTTTCATCTGCAGCGTTTTATCCGCAGGAATACAAAGTCTCTGAAATAAAGTGCAACAAAGGGAATCAAGGACATTTGGTTTTATTATCAGCTTCAACATACTTTTGCAACAACGACCAAACAGAAAACATTTTGCCTTAAATATTAAACTGGTAGTCTGTATTGTTTTGTTTACCTGCCAAACCAACGTAGGAAATGTTAGCTTTTTAATATAATTACAATCATTCCATTATCTTGAGTAAGGAAGAAATCAACAGCATATTTGTCACAAATCTCTTTTTTAAATTGTCTTTTTTTGTGCAATTGTAACAATAAAGTATAGAGAGTTTGTCCTGTTTAACCAGGATCACCATCTCTGTTTCAGTGATGGAAACTTAAACGATGATTGTATTTTTATGTTTAACGTCTTCTGAGGGAACACGTTTCTTAGCATTTTTCACAATGTAGTGTTTATTATGGAGGACTAAACTTGACAGTATAATAGATAAGTGATTAAAGAAATTAAAAAAACAGGAAAGAAATTAATGTAGAAATGAAAGCCTCAAGTATCAAATAATTGTGCAGGTTAATTTTTAAATAAATAAATATGCACAGAAACAGAAATAATAAAATTTATTTATTTAACGAATTACTTATTTTTGTAATTTATTTCCACATTTAATTATTCTCCAATTTATTATTTTCTCTTTACTATTTATTCATTCCCTTATGTATTCAAATAAATACATTTTATTTAGTTATTCTATTTCTGTGCTTATTTATTCATTTTTAAATTAATATGTACATTTATTTTTTATAATTTAGGTTTTGATTTCTACCTTTCTTTTGTTATTTGATTTATTTATTTATTCATTATGTCAGCTTTAGTCCTCCAAAGTTTATAAGTGGTGCTTAAATATTGTTTACTTAATAGAAGTCCTTATTTCCGCCATGGTTTTCTCTCTTACCTCCGAGTACCCGCCTCCCTAGTACAAGTTCCGGTGTACGCTGGTCAGGATAAAAAAGCGCACCCTTTGTGAACGTCACGCTTGGGGGTGGGTGGGGGGAGAGGGGTCCAAGACGTCATCCAATCAACAGGTCGTTTATCCCTTTTGATTGACACGTATTTGGTGAAATAGAAAGCTGTGTTTCATGTGGGCGTACACCAATCACAGCCAATCACGACGAAAAGGAGGCGGGACTGAACTGGCTGCCCGTCTGCTGTGACAGTGGAGCTTCTCCTCAAACACCGAGGTATGGAAGCCCATTAGTGTCACTGTGAGGAAAAAATAAAAATCCTGAGATAGTAATGATAGTAATGACTTACTATCTCATAGTAATGACTTACTATCTCATAATTATGACATAGGATCTCAAAATAATAACTTAGCATCTCATAATTATGACTTAGTTTTTCAAAATAATGACATGGCATCTTATAATTATGACTTACTATCTCATAGTTACGTATCTCATCATAATGAGATATTAAGTCATAATAATGAGATGCTAAGTCATTATTTTTGATTTAGTATCACATTATAATGACTTTTACAGGATCTTTATTTTGGCCTCACAGGGCTTCCATACCACACTGAGCGAGAGAGAGGGAGAGAGAGAGAAAAAAAAAAAAAATCTCACCACTACGCAAAATCCTTCCAATGGAGGAGGACCAGGACGTCCATCAAGCTTGTTCGGCAAAATTAAAAGAAACGTCTGCAAGCTAAGCTAAGCTACCTAGCTCAACTAAAAAAAAAGGAGAGAGAGAGAGAGAGAGAGAGGAAACAAACACAAAAGTTGTGAGTAACGTCATCTTTTATACGAATATCAAAGTATAACTGAGGACACGGCGGTTTGCTATCTAACGTAGTTAACTAACGTAGTTAACGTTGGCTCGCGTGATTTAACTTTACCGTTAACGTTAGCTTTTTCCCCCAACTAAATTAGCAACCGTAGCATGCTAACAGAGGCTAATCGCCTAGCTACCGCTTCAGAATTCCTGTTGTCAGTTATACTTGTAACGCTGCCAAATAGCTTAGCTTGAGCTGTTAGCCTTGCTGTCATACTCAGCATGTCGAACTACAACGTTAGTTAGTTGACAACTGGCTGGTTGCTGCTAGCTAGCAAGCTAGCTAGTTAGCCTTCTGCTCAACATTTGCAGCATCAACACCAGGCTAGCTGCTAGCTAAAAACTACCATGATGGACTTCATATGATATGATAAGATAATTCTTTATTGGTTACAGGATTACAGCAACATAGTGGATAGTGTAAACAAGAGACATAGTAAAGACAAGATCAAAACAAGTATTATAAATAAGTAATAAAACAGTAAAGAATATTAAAAAAGTAAAAGAATCCACAATAACTAAATTGTATATATACAGAAAGAACAATTGTGGTATTACACAGTGTATTTATATTGCACCGATTTTTAGTGTTTGGTTATCTTCATATGTTGTTCACATTTAACTTGAGCTAGTTCTCTTTTTTTGTGTATGAGTGTCTTGGTGGTATAAACTAGTCATGTCAGAGAATATAAGCGTCACTAAATACTGTAACGTTATGTTAAAACACACATTAAACTCAGTGACCCTTGTGTTGTTTTTATGCACTATTTATCTAGGGGCACAAAACAGCGGAATAAAGCTGAGTTATTTATTTGTTTAAATCTTCTTGAGCAGACAACTTTTAGTTTTTTTTTTTTGTTTTTTTTAACATAGTGTGTTTGAAGGTTCTTTAAGCCATAACATGCCCAAAGCATGGTGTTTTTTTTCATGCACTGGAACAACAGTGAGAGAACTGTCAAGCCTTGTATCTAGCTAACATTCCTTCTGAGGACTTCATTCTCCTCGTTTAGAGTGCATCTGACACACAATGAAGCATTTGTTCGTTTCTCTGTAGAGACGCATTGCTGTGGCACTTTGGATACAGACGCAGAGGAATCTGGTCAGTCTGCATGTGCAGTGCTGGAGGTGGAGGATGGCCGAGCTATTTTTGACCAAGCCACAGTGACAGAAGTCTTTTCTTGCTGGTTGGACTATGAGAACTTTGTTGTGCTTATTTGCATTAAAAAACAACTGGGTTTGCTCATGTAACGGTGTTTGAATACCTTGTCAGAAAAGCACTGCAGTAGCACGCATAGTTTAAGCATTTTATACACACAAGACCTCGCAATGTGGTTCTAGATCGTCGATCTTTGCAACCGGCTGATCCTCCGTCGTCGTCCCTGCCAGGATAAGCCTGTGATGGCAGTACGGATGCATAGTGTATTCTCTGACTTGTGCACGCACAAACTAGAGGGAATCCCCCTATAGCTATCTATTTGAGATTATCTGGGGCATAATTCCAGTGAATTAGTGTGTTTGGTTTAATCTGGTCGGACATTAATGGCATCGAAGAGCATGGGGGATGAAAAACCACGCTGTGTAAAACTCCCCCACAGCGGCCCCTCACTAAGCCCCCCCACCGTAAGGATTAACTGTTAACTCAGCATTTCAGTGGTCACTACGAACATATTATGTAATACAAAAACAACTCGGTTTGTTGATTGTTTTTAGGTCTTGTAGTATGTTATCAACTGACAGTTTTTTGGTGTCTTACTACCAACGGTTTGCATACTCGCAGTTTGTTTTTGAACTTATTTTGTTATTTGAATCTTCTTTCCTTTTCCTAACCTAAACATTTGTTCTGCTGGCTTCTAAATTGTCATTTGGAGAAGTGTTCTTCTCTGAAAGGTCTTTAAACTAAACAGAAATATTCACACCTGCTTCGACAACCTTTGACCCTGCAGCAGTCAACCTGGTTCCACATGGAAAAGCTCCGAAAGGAACTCCTTGTTTTGTCTTCTCCAAAACTGTCTTGAGGTTTCCATGTCATACGATGCAAGCTTTCACCTATTTGGCCAGATTTCAGTATAAATGATCTCTTATCTAGACTGACCAGTTGGATACAGGTGTGTGTTTGTATTTGCACTCTGCTGAATTATTAACTGGACAACTGAGCAAATAATACTTTGAGGGAATTGAACATAAATTTGGCTGGAAATCTTTGCCATTCATTTAAATATTGTCCCCAACCAACTCCTCTGTTTGCCAGCACCAATCTGAAGAGTCGCATCGTCCTGCATTGAACATTTAACACACTTTTTTATCTCTGGAGAATTAAGATTCAACAGCGTTGCTGTGCCCTTTCATTCTGTTTTTGGGGAAATTCCCCGTGAAACGGTGAAGATAAGAATATTCATGAGTTAATGATTGAAAGCAGTGAAGTTGTTTCCAAACATTAAAATGAGTTGGGTTTCTTTGTGTTGACAGTCTAGAAGGATGGTTGGTCACCATCTCTCTGACCTTCTCACTCACTCTGATTTACACGGGTGAGGCATTGTTTTCATTGATTCAGTTGAAAGACTTCGGCGTAATGTAGCACACAATACGGACTGAGTCTAGCTCAAAATAACCTATAATTGAGCCCTGCTGAGGAAGATTATCCTTGGCTTTGGGAGAGAGGTTTTGGAGCATAATTGATGTTTGGGTCTGCCTTCACCAAAGAAACCACCCCGTCTTTGCCCTCAAGACAGCCTCAGCTGAGCCTCCAGCAGTTCATTCCTTGTTTAGCTCCAGCTGACGGTACAATAATGCTTCATATCGTCTGATTGTACAGGAGACGTCAATCAGAGCAAGTTGAAGATAAGAGGAATATTTGTTGAAACTTTGTTATGCTGCACTTCCCTTTCCCTGTTCGGAAGAAGCCGGTAATGTTTCCGCTCCAGAGGTAGTGATTAGAACCGGGCCAGGCCTGTCATTTTGGGTTGGAGGGAGCCAGATATAGGCTCTTCCCTCTTTGTCCACTTTACTGAAGCGCACAGCCTGTTTCTGACTTTAAGCCGCTCCAAATTCTTCAAGACGAATGCATCACATTAGAAGTCCTTTGGTTTGTTTTTGAAAGGAACCGGTTACAGAACGGTCGCAGGCTACTGGAAGTTGTGGCAGAAAAGCTGAAGGGGAGACACAGCCAAATGAGACAGGACAATCTCTACTTTGTCAGGCCTCTTATTTCCTGGATGGACTATCAGCCTCCTCTATGCA